CTATCTAGGATTGGTTTCGTGTGCATATATGAAAACTGTAATCTTTTTTTTTAAAATATGAATTAAAGAAAAACCAATACATAAAATATTAAACAAGGTGATTACTTTTTCCTTCGATAAGGCGACGGCGAGCGGTCATAATAGTAGGGCGACCTGGCAGGTCCGCCGTACTTTGAACGCATCTCTCCGGGAGCTGAACATCGCAAAGACCGTTGACCGCCGAAAAGCGAACGCATTAAAGACCTACTTTTTCTATCGCCCTGAGCAAATTCCACTTCCAGGTCTCGGCCATGGAATCTGACACGGTCTAAACCGTAGAGAGCATCCTCAGCATCGCGGATGTCTTCGAACGTACGACGGAATTAAGGAACATGCCCAATGTTTTGAATCATAACAAATTAACATAAAGCATTTAATCCAAACAACAGGCTGCCACGCACAATTTGAAACAATCCTTCCTGACATGGTTCTAATATATCATTTTTCTGCAATCTTCATATTAAGGATAAGATTGCTCGGTAAATCAGTTCAGCATTTAGATAAGTCTAAAAGCAAGCAAGAAATTTTGATAAAGGGGAAGAAACTAAAAAATTTAATCTAGGACCTAACAGTGGTAGCAGTTTCGTTAAGAGAATTCACATCATCAATGAAATTATGGTCACCGCCCAAAACACATTCATTCGTTGTTTTCCTATGCAACTGTCCATGCGAACGGCTTTGGAAAGTTGCATTCGCTTGTGTCAAACCAAGATAAACAATATACTGACTGAAACCTCTTATACACGCGAAAACGCTATTCTGCATTGTGATAAATTAACTAATTTCTGCAACTTGATTAAAGTTCGGATTAAACCTGGGCAGCTTCCATGATTCATTTATTACCAGTTATCAGTTCATTATCAGAGTTGATGTTATGATAAAACATAAATTTAGAAATACTTTTCTGCTGGAATGCTGATTACTGATACAAAAATGTAAGAGCACGATGTCACCGAACTAATCGGCTTTGCAAGCCGTCTGTAACAGCATTACATAGAACATTCGTTTTTATTTAGAAATACTATACTCATTTTAAATGTATGGTATATAACAGACTTTATGCCCGCCATAAACATTAGCTCAAATATTTACAGCATATGTATTTCATACCCAGAATGGTAACACTTCTCGCGCAATGACGTACATAGCAAATATAACCTCATATTCGATTTAAACAGCATTCGTCGTACTCCAGTCTTTTTGTTCAAGAAGACACAAACTACTAGTTGAAACGAGTGGGCGCTCAACTACTTTTCCTTCCTCGACTTCTTAAGCTTTTTGTTTGTTTCTTCACTCTTCTTATCTTCATCATTCTTTATTGCACATTCTCTGTCGTTATAATTATCTACGCTTGCCGTTCTTTTCATTCTCCCTCCTCTTTTTCTCCGTCTTCTCGAAGCACTGGCGTCCATAGATTTAAATGTGACAGTCTGACATACATTTCTTCTATTCAATACCTGAACATTTGACAACGATTGTGAATTTAAATTCACATCTGCTCCTTAGGGCGAATTCGGGCTAAGAAAATTCTTATGAATTTGCTTACTGCCTCATGCATGAAATAAATTACTCCTGACGAACTATTTATATAATGATGACCGATTTAAGCTTTAAAAATTGGTCCAAATGGATTTTATTACATATAACGGAATAAGCTGGTCAGTCATGTGAATGACCAGTACCGACGTTTCAGCACGTACCTCAAGGACGGTCTTCATGATAAATCTATTGACAAAGTTCAGGGATTATTTGCATCGTCGGCAGAAAGTGGTTCGATCTGGGCCGAGAGGCAAGCTGCCGGTACTGCTGCTTAACACAACCGTCATGTCCTGACTTATAAGCATGCACATCTATGTATGAATAAAATTCTCGATCTTCCAATCGATTCGTGACATTTGTTACTGTGTTGTCGCATAGCCAATGCAGAACTCCAAGCTACAGAATGAATTTAATTATTATACAAATTTTTTAAAGTCGGTGTACGTTCTTTCATTAACATTACATGACGTCTTAATTTTAATACTAACTGTGATCTTCAGCATTATGACTTCACACACATATGCAACTATTAAAATATTTCAGCTATATATGGCATAGCTCAAATGCTGAAAAATTCGAGTCTTGAGTTTAGAGCGTACTACGCGCATATTTCCTCCAAAACTGGAATTAGCGGCGTACTGCACCGCTGTGGCTCGTATCAGTCTGGCAGAACTTTACGCAGGCCAAGAATCTGTGGTATTTGTGCACTTGAACCGCATCACTTCACTGGTTACACTATTTCAGAGGTTGATACAGGGTCGCATCAACAGTAAATATATATTTGCGAATCACCGTCCCACAGCAACAAGAGGCAAAGAGATGGTGGAATACGCTGTGAAATCTGGCTTTAGGGAAGTAGACGCTTCATATTATACTACGGCGACAACGACTTTTCGTTTGACTGCCTTGAGCATTACTTTGGCCGTAAAATTCGTTCAGATGCATCTAGCGCTTTAGGACTTCTAAGGTCATTGAGCCTGGCTTAATTTACCCCCACCCTCCACGCCCACAGTCAACAAGGAGTAAGGGAAACAATCACCTATTGGAGAAGTTAAAAGCCGGTTTATCAAAATGTTTGTGTTTAAGATCCGAACAGAGCGTCTTCATATAAGAGATAACTGAATGAAGTACTGCAACTATCGATTCGGTTCATAACAGAATGAAATCTCGGAAGGGCTAGCTAAAACTTATAAAATAAAGTTTTTAAAATATAGTTACATGTTAAGACTCTACGAAGAAATGAGTCCAAAACAGCAACAGACTTTTGCTGAACTTGCATTTCTGTTCATATTCTCTATTTGCTTGTTACAGTTTATTTTGACAAACGAGAGACGTCTGCAACTAATACGGAAATTAACTTGCATGATATCTGTCAGTTTTTTCCATTCTACAAAATTAGGTATTCAATTGCATCGCATTAAACCTGCCTTTTGCCTCATGAAAAGTTGTTCTTCAACTTCCTGAACAGGTCGAGTAATATTAACAAGACTGCACATTACAGAATCTGCTATTCGTGCGACAAGTTGATTTCTGTCGACCAACATACGTGGGTCATCGCAACTGCTGCACCCAATCCAAAACCACTTCTAATTTGAAACTTCGCCAAACAATTCTTAAGATTGAAGATAAAACGTGAGCCTACAATTTACAGGACTGACCGCCATAATTTGTATTAAGCATTTTACGAACATATATGTAAATTTCATACAACTATTTTTCTTCTATGCTAACCTCTCTAGCCGATAACATTCGCTGATTTCAACAAGACATGTACAGTCTCTGCCCAAAGTTTTCTGAAGTACGGATACAATCTAATGGAAAGCAACAAGTCTGGCTTAAGATCAACCTACTACCTGCCATATCACCATATTATCATGAGAGGGTGTCAATGTTTGGAACATTTAAGGTTCTTGGAAGACAGAAATGCAGTCGAAAGAATACAAAAATGAACTTGTGAAGGGCGCATAAAGAATTGCCAAAGTATATAGGAATTCCTGGTCTATGCACAATAACAACAAACTACTGTTGCTCTACCAAATTATAACGCACCGCTGGCTATCTCTGATCTGCAAACGAGTTCAGTTTGCAAATGCAGAAAAATGCAAGCAAAGAACCGAACTTTACGAAAACAAATTACGAGGTAAAATAAATTCAACAAAATTCTAGAATTAGATACCCTCCACGAACATTCTAACACTGAATTAATGTTTACTGAAAAATTTTAACAAAAGTCACGAGACTCGCTAAATGGCACATCGCTAAGAATTCATCTAATAAAAAACAGAAAAATTAGTGGACTTAACTTGTAAAAAATTTCCGTTACAAATCAGATGAATTCTTAGGTATGAGTCAAATACTAAACACTAAAAACAAAACAAAAATAACTAAACTATTTCAAACACTTACCTAAAGGCTTGGTTTGCTCGGCGTCGTCCGGGAAAGAAGAACATTGTGACCTTACAATGACGGTTCCGGCAAACCAGCAGAATCACTGTTAAGCTCTGTTGCTGGAACAGGATTTATTTAAGATACTCTGTTATTATGATGCTGAATTTCTGTTACATCCACGCTTTTTCATCATCTCTTGTATCACTTTAATGAAACAATCAGACTTTGGTCTTGCTTGCTTGATTACTCTTTATTAATGCGAGTTTCAGCAAAGTCTTTCTTGCCTTTGCGCGGGAACTTGCTTGCATTCTTTAACCGAAAAGAAAGTTTGTCATTAATTTGAGCCGAAACAAAACAACATATACATTGATACATTACATATGTACGTATATAGCTGTAAAACATTACGATTGGAAGGCTCCATATAAAATGCTCTTTGCAGGGCGGCGACACTTTGGCCGTCAATTAGTGAAGGGGTAAGGGCACGCCAACATGTCTAAAGCGTGATATAACGGATAAAAATTCATGAGCCTTTCCGATGCGCAACATCTTAATGAGTTAATTCTAGAATTACACGACCGAAAGAAAAAAGGACGACGCCGATCGACCATGACAACACTGCTCTGTGCAAAGGAAATGAACTCTTAACTCAAGTGAGTATTGAGAAAGTCTCTGTCACTTTACACTTCATCGTCGCAGCTCGACCCCCAAAACACAGTATGCCAGGAAGAACTGTTGCAAATTTGCGTCCTGCGCCAGAAAAAAACAACGCAGTCATGAGAACAACTATAGACAAGAGCGATGATCTTCCTGCCCCTGTAACGGCAGCCAAATCACCGAAGCCGCCACACAGCACTACACAAAAAGGAAAGGATATTCAATATAGCAGAATCCCCGGGATCGCCTAGTGTAGTAGTCAACGGGAATATACACGTCGCGAACTGGTCCGTACTTACTAAACATAGCACGCAATTCATCGGGCCTGGAAAATTAACCACGTCAGATTATTCGCAGAACTGTGCACGCCGCACATCCACCATTTACCTTGCATCATCCGGTACATTTCTTATATACAGCGAAACATTCGGTTTACCATAGCGAGACATTTTCTTAACACACTGCTTATTTTGCTTCTTGACGATGTCACGATCACTTGGCGCTCACCATTGAGGTTCCTGAAACGCAACGCCCTGCCTGCTTTACATTTTTGGCTTACTGTACTGCCGTGGATGAATACTGCTACGGTAATCGTTAACGGAAACGTACCTTAATAGTTCGGTGAAGGCAGTGCCAAACATAAACTTATATTTCATTAAATTAACCGTTTCATTTTTAAGCCAGCTGCTCTATTTCCAATATTATGAAAGTAGAAAAATACTGAATGGTGAATGATTTGAAACCATCTCGCGAAACAATGGAAAATGAACATCAAAGGGCGAAAGTGAAGAAGTATTGAAATGAAATATCAGCTTTATAAAGAATTTTTTCATGTTTTACTTTAGGTATAACCTTTCATCGCCGTAGCCTTTAAACAAATTTCCCTACATATACATGGAAAAAGCAAGTTTACTGATCTTTTGGCTATATACATTTTCCGGAGGAAAACAGTTTGCAAACATTAGATGAGGCATGTCTTCCGAAGAAATTTTAAACGATACATATTCGTTGTTTTAACCTTGACCTTATGCATAGTTAACTGAAATTAATGTATGGCCTGCTTTGATTAATGGATAAATCAATAAAGGTCGAATTAAAGTGTAGGATAATTGTCAAATCTGGAGCGAAAGTATCAACTATCAACTGCATTGCATCTCATGGTTCTGAACCAGTTGCAAAAAAGACACAGTATGGAGCATTAATGTTCCCTCCACTCTTGTTACATTTGACTGAGGAATCTCGGAACCAAACTGGTCGCTTGAGCTCGGAGGCGGATGCAGTTTTGCAGGGATGGGCAAGTGCAGATGATACAGATATATGCAAGAGTACGTGGACAGCCATAGATAGAAGCATAAAACAGAAGAAATGAAGAACGTCATTATGTTTACGGCCTAATTTATAGAACTGTCTCCTTCAAGTTCAAGTTCATTAGGCATTATTAATGTCTCGCTTGTCATCGATACAGCAGGTGTAGAAAGTTCCAGACGTTGGCAAAAAATCGAAACCGCGGTACGCTATCTGACACATATACTTCCACAGCCCGAGAAATTGCAGTTGTCGAAATTGACTGTTTTATATTTTGCATTTACCTTGTTGCATGCCAACAAACTTACAGGTAAATCGCGTACCCAAGGAGTACAGTAAATATATCGATTATCCAACGCTCACCATAAATAGAATAACGATCTGCAAGAATCATCCATTCTGGAAGACTCATCATATGCTAGACGATCGTGTGTTTATGGCTGAAGCTGTTACTATGTCACCGAACCTTTTAAATTCTCTGCACTCTGTTGAATTACCAAAAGATGGACATGGAACATACCTAATGAACTTGAAGCACAAAATTTTCAGAATTAAACAGCAAACCACGTGACAGTCTTCAATCTGTTTTTCCTGCATGCATCTAATTTGCCCATTCAGGAGCGTCCTTTACATTATATAAGTATGAAGGACGCTAACTTTATATTTTAACGGCGGTATCGAAAGCTCCCACTCTTGAAAACTCTTCCAGAACATCAGGGATGTTTTGACTTGAAGTAAATATACTGTTTTATATTCCAAAACAGTTGAAAATCTCATTGAAATATATCTATATTTGCCATTCAGGCTGGACAGACTAGAAAAAGTTTTTCTTGTGATAAGTCACGTGTGATAAGTCTCGATTTCTGCAGCTACGTTCCTGGGATGAGGAACTGGACGGGCAGCAAATTCTATTATTTTTTGTGTGATAAATTGGTGATGCTTAGCTAAACAAATGCAGCTTTATTTTGAAGATATGGCAGGAATAATGTTAAAACCTGTTTAGAGGTGGCTATATCATAGCAGGGGAGATTGAACGAGACATTTTTGCTTGTTTGAACGAAGGGTTCATTGTAAAAATAAACCGAAATCTTAGTATGCATTTACCATGAAAGCTTATGGCGAGATCGCATATGCCGAGCCCAGTGGAATTGACCATCATCGTATAGTGTACTGATGGACGATCAGCAGTGTCGAACAAATTTTCAGTGGTACATTATTTTATTTGGAAGAATATACACTAAAAGTAATTAAATGCTTTGAAAGTTCGTGTGCCTTATTCATGATGCTTGTACTTTCAGAAATGCTTTACATTTATTTGAGCAAATCCCTGTATTAGAAAATGTCGCATGAAAAATCTGTCTTAAGTCTTTTCACGGTACACTAAAATTGCAATTCTTTGATCAGACACACTGCTGTCACTGCCTTAAGAAGATGCTGATATTTGAATTAATTCTTGTCAATCTTAATATTTAAATTGCCAGGTTAAGAAACTAATCAATTTGTAGCGATTTAAGTAAGAAAGTAACCGCGTCGCCAGTCCATTTGACTAGTTCGAATGAAAAAATTCAGATTGGTAGAAAAAGGAAGAAAATAACATGATCATAGACGTGATAAATCAGATCAACATTAGTTTTATTATGAAGATAAGCAATCATGGACATAAAATTATAAAACTGATTATAACTGACAACCAAATAAGTAGCCGGGAATATGTAAAAGAACTTTTTGAACAAATAAATCTGTGAATGCAGAGTAAATATAAAGCTACAATACATATAGTCCCTTTAATTATCAGTGCAACTTTGAGACCTGTACTATGAGGAAAATCGGTAATACGACAGATAAATGGTGCCATTTAATACCTGGATGCAATAAAATTGAACAGTGTTGAGTAAGACAAAATGTGAATATGACCTTCTGTTTCTTGTACAATTGGTCATAAGCTGATAGCAGCAGCTGGAAACATATTTGGGCAGGGCATACGATTGCACTGATAAAAAATTTCATGCACATCCACTGACAACAAACGTCACATCCTATATCCGCAAAAGCAGGATTGGTTCAAACACTGTATGTCTGTAATACAAGGCTGTATCGATACTGCTTTTTACCCCATCAGGAGAACAGCAATCTTGTCACCGAACTAAAGAAAAATCGCTATCTAGGCTGGCATTCATGAGCAAGTCAGCAAAGTGGATTGGAAACTAAACGGGATCTTCAACCAAGAAAAAAGTACAACTCCCATTGAAGATTTCTGAAATCAATTTGTGCTAATCATCCATACTCAATGAACATAACATAAAGAACTAAACGTTTCATGAGCAGTTGCGAGGCAACAACGGGTTTACGATTCCCAATCGAGGTTGCAGTCTCCTACACAAGATATCATATCAGAATCATGTACTGCACAGTATATCGGTAAAACTGCCCATTGAGGAAAAATCGGTGAAAAACTGAAGAACCGGATCACTGAACACATTACCTGTCTCGGAATAGATGAAAAGGTTTTGCAATTGCCGTCATAATACTAAAGAACGACATCATATAATGAAATGCAGCATCCAACACTTGGAAAAGACCGAGTCGAAAGGATAAAATGCATGATTAACAGGCAGAAAAAAAACTTATAGCATCAGTAAAAGATGGCTTCCTCTATTACATGATTAAACTGTTGATAATTTTCGATAGTTGATAGTTCACATCTCTCATTGCAAACTTATCCTAATACGATTGTAGGCATGCTGTAATACCAACATTCAAAATGAGCAAAGAACCATCATAACGATTTTGCTTCAAGTCAGTGCCCTAGCCTGCAGGGACCTGGTGTATTCTCTGTTCGGTTTTTTGATCATGTTTGTACGTTACCAGTGGTCTGCTCGCTCTTTTATTTTCTACATTTACCACTCATATGGCCAGTGGCTATTTCTTACCTAGATTTCATATGAAACAATAGTTTTTTGATGTTCTTGGTTGTAGGGTACTACTCTGAATATAAAACTTGTGATCGTACGCTGTTCAAACAGTTTTCAGTGACCATTGTTCATTAGTAGCTTTAACACTTTTAATTCGCCTATTCAGCTGCTCATATATTACAATGCAGAGCTACGAATCTGAATTTCTTCCCGACTGTTTTGTCGTGGTTAGAAAGCTCCTCTGAGATTGCAAGAAACTAGCAGCCGCAGGAGGTAATAACAGTAATATCTTCAATTTGCTCAGATCACTCAATGCTGCCTCTGATAGGCAGATCCCATTGCCGCGATATATAAATTACTTATGCCAATCTGAGTAGCAGCGAATGCATAAACTCAGCGCTGACGGAGCATTTTCCAATAAGCAGAGATTTCCAACGCTGCATAAGCAAAATCCGAGTTAAATATATTTAAAAGCTTCTTTAACACAAGAGAAGCATTCCATGAAAGATGCCTCCGTATCAGCATATTAGAAACTTTCTCAGCTCTAAGGAATAAACACATAGAATTTTGTTTTAGATACAACAGCTGAGCTAGAAATAGCAACAAACAACAATGACAAGTCACTGGCGCATTTAGGAGGAAGGCAGTACAGATGTCGTAGAAAGTTTGGAGTGAGTACCGTCGCAGAATGGCCGATTGCTGGTCTGCTTGCAGTTGCAAAACCAACGTTCTTCATCTTTTTCCGGAATGTAGCGTACTGGACGACAGTCGGTCGATTCCCTGTTGTGCGATCCATCACAAAACGGCTGAAATAATGCAGCTAATAATTTTTTCCCGCTAAGAACCATTAAATAATGACAAGCTCGGTTTGCTGTGGTCCTAAAGTACAAGATGTTTTTTTGAATCACTGGTAAGATATTGTAGAACGATGAGATGCCTTTTAATAATGGGATTAGCAATTTCAGAAGATTTTTCAACGTAATTTTTCAACGTAATAAACATTTTTCAACGTAATAAACAAGCGAAGAACGTACAAACGGCAAGCAATTGGCGACACTAGGATAAAATATCTGCAACGAGTGCAGAGCTGATAGATGACGTAGGGAGGCTTACTTAGAGGATAGGGTGTCGCTTCCACATGAGAGGGTTTGACCCATTCACGGATTCGCTATTTTCTGTTTTTAAACAGAATCTTTTCCCCTTCAGAAAAAGTTACCTAGAGTACAATTTTAAGGTTTTAAAGGAGGTAGCTTACACGCAGGCAATTGTTTACGCTTCACGGATGTTGTTTCTCGCTGTTGACGTCTTTTCTGAAAGTAAAAATGCCTTAATCTTCCTCATTGACGTTACACTGCCTCATGGTTAACTTTGCAGTGCTTCTGTCCTCCCACAGGTAGCATATTAAGTCAAATCATGGAATTAGGCACAACTGATCTGTCAAACTGGGGCACATTTCTACTGAGGATACACATGTAACGGAATAAATCAGTAATTTACTAAATTTTTCAGCTATTTATCTTTTAAACATTCAATATGACTCAAATGCAGGCAGCTAGACGCTGTCCTGACCTTTCGCTAACTGCGGTCTTTGTCATACGTTAATCTAACCAATGAATAAACAAACAATAAAAATCAAACAAACCTGGTTATGACTAAAACCACAGGAGCACCATGCATACTTCTTATCTTTCAACATAAGGAACTTCACAGGTTTCCGATCGTACACTTTTCCCTTGGCTGGCAGGAGATGGTTGTAACCCTGTAGACCATAGTGTTCTTCTGGCTTTTTGTCGAACACCTTATGGTCGAGTTAGAGGCAGGGAGGTCGCAAAGAGAATTACAGCAACATACCGCATAATAAACCAGAGGATGCCTCACCACCCCGACAAACATTTTTCCTCTCTTATATTCTCGATTCGGTCCCCAGCCAGTTTTGTTACTGTACCATCGACCAAAATACTTGACGAAACTCAACGAACGCCCAGACATACTAGAAAAGACGATAACCGAAATAACACAGAAAATCTACGGAATCATTTTGTGTGAGTAATCAAAGCGAAGGAGAAACACAATTTTAATAACCGATAAATAATAAAACCGACAAAAGCTCAAAGATCCCGGGAACAAGAAACAAACGAAACAACTTCGCACATTAGTACATAAATAAATAAAAGTTAAAGTTGGAAATAAAAACAAAGCACAAACGTCAATAAAACAGAAAAAGAACAGTCTTAAGTTGAAAAATTTAAACATATCACAGAACAGGCACAAACAGACATCGTTCGGAAATATTATCTAGCTAAAAACAGACGAGCAGAGCGATGAAAATTTAACAAAGGAGACTATTCGTCAATGCAAGCTTTTGTAGAGCTGTACTTCGGCTTCCACCGCATCGAAGAAGAGATTTTCGGCATCTGGGATCTGTTTTCCGGAAGAGAGTAATTCGGCTATATCATCGATGGCTTCATTTTCCAACGTCAGCAGGCCTTTAGTGACCTTGTCCTTAAGTGAAGCATTTGCAAGCACCGTCTGGTGACGTTTATACAATGAATGACGTCGGTCCACTTTAAACGCAAACCGAGGTCGAACCTGAAAAGATTACGCTCAAGTCATAACGAAGCATACTCTTGAGCAGAAGCAATAAAAACCTTCGCTGGGTCCTGACTTTCGAGAAAAACAGGACTGACCGTGTACGGCGAGGGAACCGACTTGCCGTCAACGAAAACGAACGGTTTGAAGCCGGACATACATGGATCGGGAGTAGCGGTGAAAAAGTGAACCGCGGGAATGCTCGGATCGTGCGGAAGAATAGATACCTAACCAAATCGCTAATGTTCGTCAAAGAAAAAATGCCTTACTTGACTAGCGGTAGTCATAAATTCTCCATTAGACCTGCATATACCACTGGGCTTGTCGCGAAGGATTTGAATCATTCTCTTGACATCAAAAAGACCTTAAAGTCTGACTAGCATTAACGGTTATGCATACACATTTTCAACAAAATACCGTCAGCAGTATACTGTTCTAGTAATTTTTGACCGACGATGAAACGAGGCTCCTCGAAGGCCAGTTTATCAGCGAACTCTGCACAAAAGTCAAAGGATGCTCCTTTTTTTGATTCTGCCAAATCTTTGGACATCATATCGATATGATTTGAGATCGACAAACAATTGGAAATATTTCGCCGCCCATCTAAAATTCAGAGAATGTGATTTTCCTTGAGGAATTTTACATGGCAAAAAGCAAGGCTCCACATGTTTAGAGTAGGCAACTGCTAGCTGATTATTGTTTTATGTCGTTTCTTTTTGTAATCATCACCTTGGGGTATTTGCATTAACAGCACATCCGCCATTTGTGATGTTTACTCTATTCTCAACTCTTCAAGACTTTGCTGAAATATAGTGGGAGGAACGATACAGGCGGAATAATTCCTTTCGTAGATACAGTCAACAAACAGTGGCTTGAACCGGGCGAGGAACAGCTTAATTATAGAAAATGGATATTCATTTACAAACTGAAATATTGAAAAGGCTACAGAAGGATCCAGAGCATTCTTTTCTGCATAGCTGTAGCTGTGGGCCTGATGTGCAGAAGAGGCTCACGACAACGTTTGACCTTTGGGCATTAGGGAAGATGCTATTTCACAGCTGTGTAGCAGACAGATGTTATAAGGTAGCAAAACCCCTCTCCCGTACTATCAAAGAAGAAAATATCACTTGCACACTCCAGTACAGCAAGATATCTAATAGGATATCCTGAATAACGCCTTCATTCGTCACTGACGATTTCATCATTGCCCAAGTTAAAACTGTCCAAAAAACTCAAGCACAATGTTAAACATAAGAACAACCTTATAAATACAGCTCTCTACCAATTCCACAGCTAACAAGGTGCCACTGCGACAGACAACCCTCGATCTTAGCAGCAAATACGGATTCTGCATACATCCCTTCCAAAATGGAAACAATATGTTCAGGTATCTTGAATCATTCTAAGACCCTTTCACCCTACTGAACTACAGATTGAACTACATGCAATTTTAAGGTAAAGGAAAGTGGCAAACTAAAGCCACTCAAATCATCGACGCTGGTCATGATTTTATGAAAAGTGAACATTTGGTCAAAACAGGAGTATGCCATTCGGAAACCTGTGTCGACGTGTCCCATCAACAGCACTCTCCGCGTTTCTAGCCTTTTCCAGAACAACAGCATGCTGCAGCTTGCGGGAGCATAATACTTGGGGCAGCAGGCGAATCCATCTGGTTTGTATCAGGGCGACCTTACACTCCATTAATCACCAACCCGAGATACTGTTTGAGATGATCTGCAATGAAAGAGGGCTCAGAAGATTTGTAACATTTCTATTTTGCTGTATTTGATTAATTCTGGGGGAACTCGATTCTCGACAAGGGTGGAAAATGTACTGATTCTCCGGTGTTCTCTTAAGATGCAGAAAGGTATTTTGAGTTACTTGCGTGGGTAGAAGGAGTACTGCACTAACTCAACTTCAAGGCAGGTGCTCGGGATATTGGAAAGGATAAATCTGGAGGACAACGATTGACGAGCTGCTGAAAAACGCTTAGCTATTAAAAATCTTTCAAAAGGCTCTTTTCATATCGTGACGGCTAACCTTCGTCTCGTAAGCTCATAACCATATATGTCAGTTTACCGTGCACTTTCTGAGCAACCCACGAATTCTTAGCCGTTTCAAGCACC